TGCTAAGATGAGTTTGGTTTGCGTCTGCACTATGACTCTAGGGACTCTGGCCCACTACTGGGGCGTACCCGCCGGTGGGTGCTTCCACAGGCTAACTCTATCCAGCTTTTAAATTAGGGACCCAGTTTTAGGGAATAAGCATTGAAAAGTAGGGCGGATTACCCATTAATGTTTGCGCTCGTCAGTATGCTCTTTCATTTGGTGGTCAAGAGGCTTACAAAGCCGCTGATCGATTCCTAGCTTTCCCTCAAGAGCATCGGGAAATCCATGATAAATCCTTTGAATTACATTGAAAGTTATGTCGAAAACTGAAAGTTGGGTCCCAGCTCTGCGCTGGAGGGGTAGCGATTGCGCTTTGGGCCGCAGTGCCTCAAGCACCCGTAAGCCATTGTAGGTCAGCAGACCGACGCAGAGCAGTGCATCTCTTAGCAGACTGGAAACAAACCCATATTTAAGTTATTCGATGCTAAGCTGAGTATTTGCAACGAAAAGGAGGAAGTTACGCCCTTTTCGGCCAGCAGCAGTACGACAAACCAGGAAAGAAACCCTGTAGACGGGGAGCCGGGAAATCTCGAACTTTGAGGAAAGTGGATGTTCTAATGTGGCTGAAAATCAAGTATTTGAGAGCTTTTTTAATCCTTATCGGGGCCAAGTCCCCCTCGCGTGATGAAATATGGTCGGTAGGTCGGAAAACCCTACCGCGCTGCCTGGGTAGGCCAACAAGGTGAGGCTAGCTAGTTTACCCAAGGTATCATCATATAGGAGTGTGTGGACTACTATATAACACACAAAGAAATAATAAAAATTCTATGAAGGGCTACGGCCCTATAGACCCGCCTTTCGCGCAAGGCAGCGGCATGGGGCCCCCTGGAGACCAACGGCGCACTGTGGAAAAACTAGAAGGAACTAGTAATGCGTCAGTTCCGTGAACCTATGCTTGTTCCACAAAACTTTGGAGAAGTTGTTGTATAAAGTTTTTTTATGCGCTTGAAGGGGCACGAGGTGCGGACCGCTGCAGGAGTTAGTATTGCACACAGGTAGGAACAGCGGTTGCGGTTATTTTGCGCTTTGATAAGTCAGAGCTCAGCATGATTAAAACCTGCGTAGCAGGATTTTGCAGCTCATAAAAATGTAAAGACGGTTTAAGTTGACGGGTAGGGGATGTGCGGAGACGCTGATTTCTCTCAGGGCGTACAGTACCACCTCAATGGGGTCACCACTCGTCCCTCTAGTAGTCACAGCATGATTTACTCACAATCTAGCGGCCAGCGCCTTTGAGTAAGCATCTTGCATTTTTCGTTTGTTTATATCGCGCTGAATATCGCAGTCTGTGGCGACTTGTAGCCCCCGTAGGTTTTAGATTTGTACCAGAGAAACCCGCCATAATCTTTCCCCTGTGCAGTTGCGTAGTACGTAGTTGTCTCTAGGAACCCACAGAGCCTTTACCCAGACCCTGGAACCACACGAAATAGGAATGACGACTGTAGGTTGAATATGGCACACAGTAACACTGAGACATAATAAACTGGTGGGAGGGGATTCAAACTTGTAAAACGAGTCACATGGCAAACCATCATGTTAGATCACGAAGCAAGAAGGCGTACCTCGCACCTATGCTGAAAGATGAGCATTTTAGCCTCTGCTGTGCTGCGAATGCACAAAATACCCAACGCATCTTGCTGGCTGGCTGCACTCTGAAGCTTCGACGTAAGCGGGCAGACTATGCACATGATTGTTCTTTGACCGCAAAGTGCTGCACCTCAGACTAGAGAGGGCAACAAACTCCCGCTGTGTTGCATTTGGCCGGCATGAGAAGGAGTCTAGAACCATTACTAATCAAAGTTCAACAAATCGAAGCCCATAGTACTGCCTCAAATGTGTTCGACCGTAACGCACCAACCCACAGAGGCCCAAAACTGCAAGAGACAGCTAACAGCAACAGGGCAAGCACTCGCCGAATTGCCAGTGGAGCAGGACTTAGTGTGACAACCACAAACGCCCAGGAGGCGCGGCCCTGAAAATTTGTAAACAAGCTGCAAACTCCAGATCTAGCACTCCCGTTTGTGGCTAGGTAGCAAACTCCACATCTTGCACTTCCCTGTGCTACTTCTGCACGTTCGGCAAGACCTATCGCAGCTACTTCAAGTCCCTTTCCGCGCTCTGTTCTGCGAGCCCAAGACGTCAGCAAGGCAAGAGACGACGACCTCATGCTGTAATACGCGAGACTTCAGTACGAGGTGACAGGCGTGCTTCATTGCTAGCGGGCGCTTGTGCACACCATTATGGCGCCCTGCCGTCTACAGTGCACATGGAAGTCTATGAGCCTCCAGTCTGAATCTACAAACTGTAGGTAGGCCTCGAATACTTGTATCAATGTTGCGCTTCCGAAATTTCGCTTTAGGAGCCCGCGCTGTGGGCACCGCTTCTGATTTGTTTCAAGACCCTACCTTAACTTTAATGAGGCGCGGAAATAATTCCAGGGTAAAGACAACTTCATCTCATACCAAGAACACCTACCTCGCGGCAGCTTTAGTAGCAAGGCAGCTCACGCTGGCCACAACATGAACATGGTATGGGATAGGAAGCCGTGACATGCTTCAGATCGAGACACGAAACACACTAACATCCAGAGTCCACGAACCAAAACAGCAACTCCCTCGCACCCTCGCACTTACAGCACATAGACAGCTACAACTGCTGTGTGCTCTTTCTTGAAAGGCCAGAAGCTACTTGCAACTAGCCAATGCGGGGAAACCTTGCTGCCCGCCCTCTTCGTTTTCCCTCAGCAACACGATGCGCGTGAGAGTAAGGTCTACAGGCTCACAATTTATGGTTCTCCGAGCACACGGCGGCCGCTCTTTGGCGGAAATAAGCGGTATTGTCTGCTCCTTCGTCACCAGTGAACGAATGGAATGCGTTACAAACATATTGAGGAAATGTTAAGCAAGACAAGCACAGCTGCAGAAGTCTTTAAGGAAGTTGTCCACCGGCTGCACTTTACATTTAGCTGCCACCGTTTAGTTGCAAAGAAAACCTTCTTCGCTCCTGCCCGAAGGAAGATGGTGACTCGAAACGTGTAATTAAAGAACAACAGGAATGCTCACGGCTTAACCGAGTTCGTGAAAACGTAATGAGCAGTGTTTAGTGCGGAATTGCACACAAGAACAGAACACAAGTAGACGGAGAGCTGCTGCGGCTAGGATCCGCAAGAGGCTTGTGACTGAGGCAGAGTGGGACATACCTGAGTCACGAGATGGCGCCGAAGGCGCCAAACAGGAGAAGCCTCCCCTTTAACAGTGGCCACTTGCCACACGGGTCTCCCTCAAGCACCTGGGTGTCTCAACCATGGCGTCGTGTCTTTGACATTCTGAGTTTTTAGTCCTATCGCATGCATCCATGTAGATTGCAACACATTGAGAGGGCTCGCTAGCTCCTGCCCACGCCAACGGCAGACGTAAACTGTGTAGGGGAGCCCTGATTTCAAATAAATACAATGATTCAGCAGAATTACGGGGGCTCTGCTGCAGCAACATGCCGTAGGAGCATCTCAGGTGCTGGTTGCTGCCTCTGCCGCGCCTAGGATGAAGTGGTAGAGTGCATGTGTTCCCCCTGTGTTGGCCCGGCCAGGTGGAAGTAAGAAACGGTCTGTTTAAGGTTTGGGCTTTGAAGTCTAGGGTTTGCAATGTATTTATTTCGTGTGTCCCCACGCAGAACTGTTGCTTCGGCTGCGGGCGGTGTGTGCCGGGACGGCTCCTGCGCAGCAGCAGAGCGGGGGCTCTGTGGTTCTGTTGCATGTTGCACTGCTTCGCATTTCCCCCTTTTCGGTTTTTCTTCTCTTTACTGCAGAGTCTCTCATATATTCCTTTCAAACCCACAGAGCGTACTGCGGCCGGGCAGGGCCGCCCGTCACCGCATGCACTACACCCCTCTTTCTCTTGCTCGTTCCCTTGCAGTCTCAGCAGGCAGCCACTTCCCAGCCTATTCTTATTTACATTCGAATCTCTTTCTGACGCCTCTTCTCGCTCAACTCCCAAACTCTCCACAGACACCGCAGCAGCACTCCGCTCTCCTACACATCGCTGCGCCCAACGCCCCTCTCTTTCTCAAGGCTCACCATTGCAGTCTGCAGGGTACGCCAAATTCCCAAGAGACCCTTCGGCTTCAGTGATACTGCATGTGCGCCTGGGGTGCTTCCACACTGGGGCCGACGCCACAACGGTCCTGAGTCCCCTGCCAGGACTGGGCCCTCCATGCAGTAGCCCCTACTGGCTTCCACGGCCGCCACGGCCTAACGGAGGCCTTTCTTTTTGGCTGTTGCTTACGAATTCTAGTGGTTTCTGGCCTCTCGTCCCCGAGGCAGGGCTAATTGCTGGGGTCGGCGGTGGGGGCTGCCCAGGGCCGCTGGTTCTCTTTCCCAGTGGCTCCGTTGCCGCGCTGGCTGTGCGGCTGCTGCTGCTGTGGAGTGTATGTTCACTGCGGGGCCGCATTAGCTGCCCCTCGTGACCAGCCCGCCTCATCTTCTGCTGCTGTGGCCGCCGTCTCCACGCGGTCCTCTGTGACCTGCAGTGTAATTGAGGAGCAGCAACGAAGACGCGGGAGCAGCTCGTTGTTTATCTTGTTTGTGTGCTGTGTTGTGTTGCATTTCGCTGCAGGTTGGCCCCACGGACTTACCCGTTTGGCTGTCTTGTAGCAGCAGCAACTGCAGCAGCCGCAGTCGAGGTGTGAAGGCACCCCAGTTGCTGCTTCTACTTTTTTTCAGCAGCAGACGCAGTGTGTTTTCGGCAGTGGACACCGAGACAGGCAATGCCTGAGCCGTGATCTCGGAAGTCGCTGCCCCTTTGCAGCGGCAGCAGCAGCAGCAGCAGCAGCCGCAGCACCAAGAGCGGCGGCAGCGGATTCCCTTCGTGTTGGGCGGTGTGGTCTAGCGTTGCTGTTGTTTCTTTTTGGGCCGTGTCTGTCGTGTTTTTGTTCCTGGGTCGCACTTGCTGCTGCAGGAAACAATGTCTAAGCAGCAGCAGCAGCTGCTGCTGCAGCAGCACGGGATGGACGAGGGCGACACAACCCCGCCAGCTTCCCCCGTGGACGGGTCGGAGATGCAGCAGCAGCAGTCGGGCTCTCGCCGGCCGCCGCCGTTGTCTCCGTCAACTCCCGTGTCTTCTCAGCAGCAGCAGCAGCAGCAGCACGCGCCGGTGCCGGACTATTCGCTTAAGTCGCTTCCGCCGCCCTCGACGTGGGAGCTGGACTTCACGCTGCCGTCGTTCCTGTCGCGGTACGCAAGCAGCAGCAGCAGCAGCAGCAGCAGCAGCGAGCCCCTGGGCGAAGAAGTCCTCACAGTCTACAGCGAATGGAGAGACACGCCCGCTGTCAGATTCCGCCTCATGCTCCACCCCGTCTCCCCCGTCAGCGGGGGCTCTGCAGGCGGGCGGGAGCGGCGGTACTTGGGGGCTTTTGTGGAGACGGCGCGCAGAGCGGACTTCCCCGAAGACTGGGTGTTTCAGCACGGGTTGCGGTTTTACATATACGCCATTAACCCCGTCGACTACCGCCAAAGCCTCTTCAAACAGGACACTTACCACTTTGCATGCGACGACGCAGACAGGGGCTGGCACCACTTCGCTTCGCACCAGGAACTCATTCAGGAGCGCTTCCTGGGGGGCCCCACGGGCGAGGCCCTTTACCTCAGGGCGGGCTGCACTCCGGTTTGTGCTGCGGTCTCCCGCAGAATCCGCACCCCGTGCCCCCCCGCGCCGCTCCCGCCCCCCGTCCCGGCCCCTGCTGCTGCTGCTGCTGCTGCGGAGGCGGGGGCCAAGCGGCAGCAGCAGCTGCAGCAGGGCGAGGTCGAGTCGCCCCGGGGGCCCCCCGCGCCGTTCGCCGGCATCGGGCCTGCGGCCCCGCCTGCGGGCGCTGCACCAGCAGGGGGAGCAGCAGCTGCAGCAGCAGGGGGCATGGGCCGCTGCGGCCGCGGCTACGTCGGGCTGCGCAACCACGGCGCCACGTGCTACATGAACGCGCTGCTGCAGTCTCTTTATTTCATCGGTAAATTCAGAGAGGCAGTCTACGCGCTGTCCTTCGACACCAAAAACACCTGCGGCCCCCGCAGCGTAGACATTCTGGAGCGCCGCCGCTGCAGGCGGAAGCGGGGCAGGGCGTTTGCTGCTGCTGGCCTCGACCGAGCCAAGAGGGGGGAAGCCCCTGCTGCAGCAGCAGAAGCAGCAGCAGCAGCAGGCGTCGACGGCGCAGAGACGGAAGGCAGGGACTGCAACGGAGTGGGGGGCGAGCCCGAAGGGCAGATGGATGTGGAGGGCCAGAGCCCGTCTTCTGCGGTTTCGGAGGGAGCAGCAGGAGCCCCTGCAGCAGCAGCAGCAGCAGCAGGGTCCTTTTCTGAAGAAAGCACGGACAGCGAAGACGAACTGTCCGACTTGGAGGAGAGCGAGCTTCGGGACCTGCTACTGGAGGAAGAGGCGGGGCGGAGGTCGCCTCCGTCGATATCTCTTGCGCTTCAGAATTTATTTGTGAAGTTGTTTACAGCCGAAGAAGCTGTGCCGTACAAAGACTTGATTCGTTCGTTTGGCTGGGACGCGGCGGACGCCTTCACGCAGCAAGACACGCACGAACTGCTGAAGCTGCTGCTGGACAAAGTGGAGGAGCAGATGCGGGGCACTCCCGCGGAAGGCAGCGTCAAGGCCATGTTTGAAGGCGAAATGGAAACTTACGTGGAGTGCCTCCACGTCGACTACAAGAGCGCCCGCAAAGAGGCCTTCGAAGACATCAACCTCGACGTCCAGGGCTGCTCGGGGGTTCGCGAGAGCCTCCAGCGCCTGGTGGTCCCGGAGCTGCTCGAGGGCGACAACGCCTACGACGCGGAGCAGCACGGAAAGCAAACCGCCAGGAAGGGAGTCCGCTTCGTCCGCTTTCCCCCGGTCTGCGTCTTCCTCCTCAAAAGATTCGACTTCGACTTCGCCAGGATGGACACCGTCAAGGTCTTCGACAGGTGATTCAGGCCCCCCAGACTCCACGCTCGAACAGGCGCCACTCTTCAGCGCGTCTTGCTGCAGTACCAAATAGCCTCAGTGCATGCTCTCTTACTATTGGCCTCTTTCTCGCGTCGGCCTCAGTTGCTGCTGATCTCTCTACGGGCGTGCGCGTTTTGCTGCTGCTGTTCGAAGTTCTACGGCGCTGCTTCTTCTGGCCTCGTGGGGTGTTTTTGTCACACTCTTTTTCTTCGATCGTTTTGTCCCACTCTTCTTTTTCTTGCTTGGGGGCCCCTCCCTCCCTTGCCTCTTCCTGCATCCCCTAGCGGCTCGCCGCCCGGCTGCTGGGTTTTACTGTCTGTGCGATTTGGTCATTTGTTGGCTTCGCTGTGCTCCTTCTTACATTGCGGGTTTCTGTCTTCTTGCAATCTCCGTGACGTTTCCCGCTCTCTGTCTGCCTGCGGCCGCGTCTGTTGAGCTTCGAGGCCTTCGATTTTATCCAGGAAATTCGTGACTTAGGCTTCTCGAGCTTCGAGCCTTGGCGCTCGACTTAAACGAGTTTTGCGAAGGCGCTGGAGTGTACGCGCTGCACTCGGTGTCTGTGCTGCTATTAGGTACGAGTTCGAGCGGGAGCTCGACTTAAACGAATTTTGCGAAGGCGCTGGAGTGTACGCGCTGCACTCGGTGTCTGTACACCAGGGCGACGTCAACTCTGGCCACTACTACTCATTTCTCAGGCCTGCTCCGGGCACGCAGTGGTCAGTGTGGTGCTGCTGCTGCTGTTTTGCTGCTGCAACTGTTTTGCTGCTGCTGTTGTTTTGTTGCTGCTGCTGTTTTACTGCTGCTGCCGTTGCTGCGCGTTCCGATGCGCTTGCTGCTTGCGCATGTAGCGAACAGTACTGTGCGTTGGGTTTGCCGAGCTTGCCTGTATGTTTTGTTGCCGCGTTTCACTTGGCGATGCTTCAGCGCCGTTTCTTTTGTCTCCTTGATTGCTTTTCGTCGGTTGCTGGCTGTTGTATCTGTTTTGGTTCCTTTGCCCCTCAATTGCTGTCTCCGCGTCTTTTTGTTTTTTCTTTCATGTCCGCCTTTTTTGCTGTTTTCCTCTTCGCCTGCAGTTGCCGCTGAGCGCCCTCGCCCATTTGGTTCTCAGTCTCTTCAACTCTCTCTGGCCTATGCACTTGTAAACTCACTCCGTTTGCGGCTGTCTTCCTTTTGCTGCTTTCTCCAGGATGCGCTTCGACGACGAGAAAGTTTACCATGTCAGTGAATACGCCGCCATAGGGGACAACTTTGGCGGCGAAGAGTTGGAGTGCTACAACTACCTGAGAGGTGTGGCTTATCCTCATCTTCTGGAACTCTCCTTCTCGTCAGACGCTCTCTTTCTTTTTAATGAATTCCTCTCTCACCAACTGAGCTGCTCGTGCAACCGCCCTCCCAGCCTGCGCGCACCGTGATCTCGCTTCCATCCGCTCGTGTTGTCTTTTTACCTCTTCCTGTCGCTTTTTCTTGTCTCGGTTCCCATTACTTCGTGGCCACTTTTGTCAATTTCCATGCTGCTTCCCGAGCTCCTCGACTTTCTTCTGTTGTGCTGCTGTTCTAATACACTTAGTGCATGCAAATATGTCCCGCAGCGCATTACGTTAGTGCACACATATCACGCTTTGTTCCCCTCAGCACATTTAGCATTCTTGGCCTTTCCCAAAGAATTCCTTTTTCTTAGAACTTGGAATCTAGATTTGGGATTTGTGAATTATCTTTAGGAGAGAGAAAGCCCAGGACGCGCAACAAACCTTACAACGCGTACATCCTCGTCTATGTCAATAAAACGCTTGCACCCAGCCTTCTAGCTGACTGCAGCCCTCTCAAGGTCGGTGCTGCTGCTGCTGCTGCTTGCTGCTGGCACTGGTACTGCTTCTGCTGCTCCTTGCTCGTGTTTCTGGTGCTGCTGCTGCTGCGTGCACCAAACACGGCAATATGGATCGCTGAGCTCTCTTCTGCTCAGCACTGGGCTGCATTTAAAGTTTGTTGTGGAGCAAGTTGTTTCTGTATTTCTTGAGTGTACGCACAGGTTAACCCCCAAATATTGAGTCGCTGTCGCACTGAAGAGCAGTTGAGGCGCCTACGGACCTCCATTCGAAACGTTCTTGAGAAGAGTGTCAGGTAGGAATGCTGCATTTGTCTCATCGCCGCCTTTTTGTGTTTTTTCGGTGCTTCCGGCTCCTTGACTGTCCTCCTCCCTGTCATCTTTTGTACTTGTTGCCACTGCAGTCCTCTTGATCTGCACTTTCCCGCCATGTGAATCTTCTCAGGATGCCTCTGCATGCACTGCGAAATGCTCTTGCCTCGTGGCTTTAGCTCATCATGCCGTTGTGCTTTCCTCTGGCTGCCTCTGTCCATGGGATCCGTTTGCAAGCTTGCACTTCAGTCCTGTCTACACTTGCCATGACTATCTCTCTCACCAACCCTAGCCTATAATGAAGAGCTGAACTGCCTCAGTTCGAGCATTTTGCAGCAGAGCTGGCTTTTGGGTTTGTGTGCTGTCAGGGTCAAGGTCTACCACCCGCTGCAGTTCAAGTACCGCCGCTTCCTGGAACTGCCGTACCTGTCTGTGACTCCGATACTGGACCTAAAGCGCAGTCGGGACAGCCAGCTGCAGCAGCTGCACGAGACGATAAGCCACGAGCTCACGAGGCTGCTCTACGGCGGCGGGGGCAGCTCGAAGGGGTCCCAGGGGTCCTCCGGGTCTCAGTCTCAGGGTTCTCAGGGGAGTGGCGGCGACGGCCCGCCCCGGGTGCAGTTCATGTTGCACCTGATAAACACGTCAGTGGAGTCCCCGCGTTTCGACGCAATTGAACTGGGGCCCAACGCGTACTTGGGAGAGATTCTGAGGCGCAAGGGAGGAGGGGGAGGGGCTGGAGTTGAGGTCAGCCTGCACGTTTTGGCCGTCCCAGAAAAGGCCGTGTTCTCCAGCCCCCTGCAGCACGACGAGTTCGTGAGGTGTCAGTGCCTGCTCTTCATCAAGTACTTCTCGTCGCTCTCCCGCACCGCCAAAGAAGTACACGTCAACAAGGCAGGACAGATCCAGCAGCCGCAGCAGCAGCAGCAGCCGGGGACGGATGCTGCTAAAGAGGAGAACGTGATTTGCTTGGATGTCGTTTATGTCCCTTACGAGTGGAAAGTTGTGAGCCCACAGCACTGCGGCTCTCTTTTGCTGCCTGCGCGCCCCAGCTGCCGGTTCTAACTGCGACAGATTTCTCTGTCTTATCTTTGCTGTTCTCATCATTTTAGTTTCACCTTTCCGCAATTTGTAGTTTCATTCTGGCTGCCACTGCCTGTCAGTGCTTCTGTTTGCCTGTCTGCCTTTGCTGCTATCTTTGGCTGCCGGCCTACGTTTCTGCTATTTCTGCTTGTCCGTGTCGCTCTGGACTTCTCTTTCTATCCTCTTGCATATTTTTCCTTCTCCCCTTGTCTCGAGTTTTGTTTCTCCTTTGTGGCCGCTCTCGCTCTCGATGTTGTCTGTATTTCTCTCTGTTGCTTATGCGTTTGTTTTGCTGGCCATATCTCGTGCGTTCGTTTGCTTGCCAAATTTTTGTTGTATTTGTTTCTGTTTCGCGTCTTGAATTGTTGAATTCACCTTCTGATTGTTCCCTAGTCCCCAATTCATCTTCTGGAATTATGGCTTTTGGCCATTTGCTCTGCAGCAGTCAGAATAGCAAATCAGCCCGCAGGGACGGCTTTGTGTGGCTCGTGCAGCGAGACCTGGAGCCCCACGTCTACCGCCTGATCCACCAAGCCATGCAAGACGGCGTGATAGATGAGGGCCCCGCCCGCGCTGCTGAAGTGGCCCGAATGGTTTCGTTTTTGCCTTCGAATTTGCCGCCTCTGTCTTGCTGCGCCCCTTATCCTTCTCCGCTGCCTTCGCCGCTGCCGCCCCCGGCCTCCAAGGCCGCAGGCTATCCTTGCCTCCAGTGGACGCAGGGCTCCTCGGCAGCAGCAGCAGCAGCAGCAGAAGCAGCGGCAGCAGCGCCCATTCCCACAGGCACCTCGACGCTGCAGCTCACTGCCTGTCTCGAACTCGATATCACTGACAAGATGCAGACAGAGAGACTGGTGCCTCGCAAGACTGTGCGCAACTCAAAGGTAGGTCCTCATATTCTGTGCCTGCTTTTCCCCATTTTCGAACTTGCTTCTCCCCCGCTGCGTCTGTGCTTCTGAGTCTGCTGCTGGACATGCGTCTGCTTCCGTTTCCGTCTTTGTCTCCTTGTCTGTTGCGCTATTTAGATTTATTCCGGGGACCTGCTGGTGTATTCTGTCGACTTGCCTCAACCGCTGTTGGAGTATAGAGAGGCGCAGCAGAAGGTGGGCTGCCGGCCCGAGGACTTGGCGCCGCAGCAGGCGTACAACCCCTCCTCTCTGGCTGAGGAGGGCCACTCAGCGCTAGAAGCAGCAGCAGCAGCAGCAGCAGCCGGGGGCGCACCGGCTGGAGGCGACGCGACCTCCTCTTTGGTGCCGTGGGGAGGAGGGCCCCCCAAGGAGGTCCGGGGCCTCAGTCTGCTGCCTTTTGTTCCCCGGGCCCGGGGCGGCAACATCCCGCCCTCTCCTCCCCCGCTGCCAGTTTACCTCTGCAACGACTTTGTGGACTTTTGTCTCGAGAGCCAGGCCACTGAGGTCTACCATGTTCGACTTTATGACCCATTCGAGGTATGCTGGGCTTGCATTATGGAGCCATAAAGAGTTCGCATACACATATGTGTATATATATATAGTGCTAGGCTTAAGGCAAATCGGTGTTTGCTTGTGGGCACCGTGCTGCGGGCATACTTTTGGCGGCTTTTTTTTCCGCTTCTCGCGTCTCCTGTTTATATCCTTCGGGTTCTGACGAAGTCGCGTGTTGTTTATTGGTGTTGTGGCTGTGTGGAGTGGGTCTTGCGGGACATTTTGTGTTTGCTGTTGACTGCCTTTCGCACCCGTCTTTTTGCTGCGGTGCGTCAGTTCCTGGGCAAAGTGATGTCCTCTTCTGGTTGCCTGCTGCTCTCGCCGTCGCTGCCGCAAGCCGCCGGCCCCGAGGGCCACTCGGCGCTGCTCTCGGAGGCTTCGCTGGTGTCGCTGGGGAGCAGCGACGGGGGCTGGCAGGGGGGTGAGGAGACGCCGCTGGGTTCCCCCGGGGTCCCGCAGCACCCCACGGGGCCCGCGGGGGAGTCCACGGCCACTCTAGGGGCGCCCACGGAGGCAGCTGCTGCTGGTGCTGCAACAAAATCCAAGACTGAAGACGCAGAGGAGGACGCGGCCCTGGCCACGCCCGTCGCTGACGATCCCTGGCTCCACATGCCGAAGACGAAGCCGATTTGTGTCAAGGAGTTTTCCCTCAGCGGCAGACTGCCCGCGAGACAGGTGAGCTTGCATTCATCTTTCTGCTGCTTTTCTCTTATCAGAGCATTTATCTTTTATCCATTGAGTGCATTTAGTCTGCATATGCAGTCCATTTGTTGGCCGTCGCTTGCGCAGTTGCGTTTTGCGAGATCAAGCAGAAGTGAACTACCGCGATCCTGCTGTTGCTGTCGCTGCTCATGCTGCTGCTGCCGTTCGTTGTTGCCCTCCTACTAAGGTCTCACCCTGCCTGTCCTTGCCCAGGCATCCCTCTCTCTGTTTTTATTTAGACTTCGCTGTCATCCTTTTTAATGTCTTTATACCTTCGATTTCTACCCGGCCTGCAGCTCTGCTGCTTCTCGCTGTCTAGCGGCTGCAGCGCAGCAGCAGCAGCAGCAGCAGCAGCCTCGTGTGCTGTACTGCGGCTGCGTCATTGTTCCGCAGGCGCTGCAGTGGATTGCCTGGCACTTTGGAGTCGACCCCAGCCAGCTGCTGCTGTTCCCGGAGCCTCCGCTGCTGTCTGACCGCAAGGTGGTGCCCCTCGACATAGACGCCATGGTGGTATCTGCTGAAGTTACGCGGGAGCAGCAGCAGCAGCAAATGTTACTGATACAGAAGGGAGAAAGGGAAGCACCAGGGAAGAGGCAGCTTTCGCTTGATGAATTGTACATGCAGCTGCAAGCTGCACAGTCGTGGCCGGGGTGCCTTGATAGGAGGCGAACTCTTGCAGCAGCAACTGCAGCATCAGCAGCAGCAGGCGGGACCGCATCAACAGCAGCAGCAGCTGCGCGTCTACCTCGAGAGCTGCATTTGTGTCTGTTGCCGGGTCACTTCCGCCTCTATTCCCGCATCGTAAATGCGTTGACGCTTCCGTCTCAGCAGCAGCAGCAGCTGCAACAGCTGCTGCTGTCTCCCCTTTCTCCTGCTGCTCTGTCGCCTTCGTCTTCTCCATTATCTCATACAGTCTTCACCTACATCTGCCTCATCTTCTCGAGACAGGCAGAACGTATAGGCTGCGTCTTGGGCCATATTGCTGCCTGCAGCTCAGAAGGCAGGCCCCACACAGTGGCAGACTTAATGCGAGACATTCTTTCGCGGTTGTCTCCAGCAACTGTGCAGACTTTGAGGCAGGACTACCGCTTGAGCTGCAGCAGCAGCAGCAGCAGCAGCAGCGGCGCCGCAGCAGCAGCAACAGCAACAGCAGCAGCAAAGAGCACGGCAGCAGAAGCCAGCACGTGCAAGCAAGATTTTGAGGAGGACTTAGGCCCCCTCAAACTCTCCATTTCAGACGCCTCCCACCTGCTCAGAATTCCGCCCACAGAAGAGCTCTCCTGGCTCACTCTCTATGCGCCCTCAGGTGAGCCTGCGTCGGTGCCAGTGACTTGTGCAATTTTGCTTCGAGTTCATCTCTTGCAAGTGTCTTCTTCTTTGTCTTTTTTTCATATTTTCTGTCACTTCCAATTGGACTATTGCCGCATGGTGATATGCCCGTGAAGTGCTGCTGCCTGCTTGTGCAGCCAACCGTCCGTGCTTCTTCCTGTTTTTCTTGTCTTTCTGGTCGCCTGTAGTTAATTTATTCTTTCTTTCGTGCATTGTGTCCTTTCTTGTCACCACCCCAACTTCCCCTTGCCTTTCATTCCTTCCTCCTCCGGCTGCGCCTTCGCTGCTCATCCGCATGCTTGCGCTGGTGCTGCTGCTGCTGCTGTTTTGGTGCAGCGCAAAGCCGCAGCAGGGAAGCCATTTCGAACCTTCTGGCAGTTCCTCTGCGCCTCGAAGCAGACTATACGCCTGAAGAGGAGGAACTGATACGCACTGGCGCCCGGCAGGTAGGATGAATGACGAGCGAGTTAGCTAGCTAGCTAGCTAGCTAGCTAGCTAGCTAGTTCGTTGAGCCTCTACGTGGTCTCTTACTTTTGGCTGCGTCCATGCTTGTCTAGTAGCTGCCCCGTCTATTTGTATTTGGTTCATGTCCCTTTCTTCGTGTCCCCGGCTTACCGTTGAATTAGCCTTTTACTTTCTCATTCTCGGCGCCTGTGAGCGGCTGGTTAGCAGGCCAGCTAGCTAGCTAGCGAGCTGTCTGGGCCCCACGCTGCATAGATGGCAGCCTAGTCCGGGACAGAATATCTTGCATTGGAGGTTTATGGCTCGCCAAGATCATGGGGAGCTGCGTTTTCTAGCTAGCTGGATGGCTAACTAGAGGAGTCGTAGCAGCTAGCTAGCTTTCTCGCAAAGTAGCTGCTGAGGACTTGTGCGTGTGCGCGCCGCCTGGGGTGTACGTACAGGTGCTGCTGGTGCAGCACCAGACCCCCGGAGACCGGGAGCCCTTCGGCTATCCGTTTGACATTCTTGTGGAGGTAAAATTGCAACATTCTGCAGCTGAAAATGACAATAAGGGACACAGCGGGGCTTTATAGGAGACAGGAACAGACAGAAACGCATGCAGAAAGTGGCAAAGAGAATAGAGAGAACAGAAAAACATTCACAGACACAAGTTCTCCAGCCATTCGGCTTCTCTTTTTTTCTTTGCCCTCAGCCTGAGGCGACGCTGTCTGAAATTAAGGCGCAAATAATAAAGAAATTGAGACTCCCCAAGAATGCATGGGGCAGCTGCACCTTCTTTCAGCTTGGAGACGGTGTTCGGTGAGCTCGTCTGCTTTTGCTGCTCCTCTTCTTTTTATTTCTTCCTGCTCTGCTTTTGCCCGGACACTCCCTCGCTTCGTTTGATTGCCTTGGCAGAAGTAAAGGGGAGCGTAGGTACAAAGGGGACAAGTTTTGTTTATTTTGTATTTCTGTTTGTTTCTGCAGGTGCTGGAAGGGCCCGAATGACTCTCTTGACTGGGTCAAACACCGCAATATTACTCTTATAGGTGAGCACATTCTTCTGCATTTGCTTCTGCTGCTTATACTGGCTCTTTGCTGCTGCTGCTGCAGTTTTGGCTCCTCGCTGCTGCTGCGGCGGGAGTTGCGCAATCGGTTTTGTTGTTGCTTTGCGTACAGCCGAACATTCTGCTCCCTACACGAAGCACAGAGGTCATGGGGGCATGCGCATCGCCTAGACGCCCTTAGTAATTGCTGCTGCAGCAACTGCAGCAGCAACAGCTGCTGCAGGCATTGCAGCAGCGAAATCAACAACAGCTGCAGCGACAATACTGCAGTATTTGCAGCAGCGACAGCAGTAGCTGCTGCTGCATTCCACGAGCGGGCGGCGGGCCTGAGCGGCCAGTGTTGCTGCTGCCGCTGCTGCTGCTGCCCCTCGTGTGCAGGGCAGCACAATGCCTTTTAGGAGCGATTAAACAAGACAAATGCGCGGAGATAAATACGAAACATGGGGCCACAAGGTTCTGGGCATGCAGTTGCTTTCTCGCTTGTTTCTCAACATGTAACTAAGGCCCTCTGTTTGTTGTACTAATGCTGGTGGCTGCTGCATGCGCTGCGCTGTGAAGGCCTAGGGCAAAACACCCACGGCAGTCTGCGTTTCATTGTAACTCCTTCCTAGCTTTCTTGTGCCTATCCATGGCCTTTTGCAGCGACTTCGTCTCGAGTTAGGGCAGCTGCGGGCGCGTAGAAAGTGCACAGCAGCAGCGGCTGCTGTGCCGAAGCTGCTGTACATGCAGTGACGGCTTAAGTTGAGCAGTTCTTACTGCTTTCCCTGGTAGCCAATAGATAGACACTTCTAGGTGGCTGCGGCTACACATGCAGTTTGCTGGAACTCATCGCTGTTTGCTGCTGCTAGATGTTGCTCGCAGCTGCTAGCTGCAGCTATGTGAAGCCGTACGGGCTCGCATCAAGCGCCTGGAGCTGCTGCTAAAGTGCGCTGCTGCAGCTTGCATGCAATAGCCACAAGGGCGGGTGGCTGCAGTTAGCTACGGCTAGCTGCGACCGCTGTGGACTACCACTTGGGAGGCCCCGCTAGCACTGCTCTCAGCCCATTTAGAAATTAGATATATTGAGGCTCCCAGGAGGCTAACGAAGGGCAAATGAACGTGGCCAGAGCCTCTGGACCTTTCGGTCTTAATGGGTTCTGCACTACATGCGATGTGACACGCATGCAAATGTATGCGTTGTGGCGCACGGGCTGCAGCAAATTGCTCCAGTCCCGCAGTCATCTTCAGGTCACTCAATTCCATTTGCTAAGGCGCCCACGCTCTCTGCCCGGTGACTAGATCAAATCAAAAGCAGCCGTAGATACTACCGTATGCACGCATGCATATACACATACTTATATATGTATGTTTATGTGCAAGCAACACGTATACGTACTTACATATATATATGTATACATATGTACCTAAATACATATATATACATATATACGTATACATATATGTATTTGCACAGGTGAAAGTAGGTTGCAGCAGCTGGTGAACTGCGGTTGGAGGCTACAGCGGCTACAAGTCATGTGCTTGTCGCCTGGCTCCACCAGCGCCAGCAATACGCATAACTCTCCACATATGCATGTTAATTGGAGGCAGCCAGAAAGCCGCAAAGACAAATTCGAAAAACAAACGGACTGCAAAGGAAACCATGCTCCTCTCGCTGCTTATACTGGAGGAGTGGGGCTGTTCACCAGGGCTCAGGAGGGTCACCCGTAGCAACGCAGAAAGCGCATGCAGCGCCCATTACACTCTGCAAGAAAGAATCCAGCCAGTGCAGTCCCGCATGCATGCACAGAAGCTCTTGTGTTGCCTCGTTTATGGGAGAAATTTGTGCTAGAAGTCATTCGCAACTAAGTGCGAATATGCAGCAGTGGGACAGATGGGCACCTGGGGACTGAGACCTTTGTTTGCGGCAGGATTCTGCGTGTTACTGGATTTAATGTAACTTCTATTAACTAAATTAAATTCTGAAATGCTAACTGGATAAATAAAACTGCACTTTTCAGGGTGTTCATTGTGTTACTGTAGGCATTCGCTGCATGCGGGGAGGGGCGGCCGGCGTGGGGGTGAAAATGGGCCTCAGAAGGAGTCTAAGGGTCTAAAAAATGGCACTCATTTGTCTTGTAGCCTTTAAATAATTTCCTTTTAATTGAAATGGGAAATAAGAAGGGAAGAAGAAGAAAGAAAGGGTGGTTGGTGGGCCGGGTCTGCGTCTGAAGGCGCGACCCCCGTCCCAGCCCCGTGCACCCCAGCAGCACGTGCCAGGTTTGTGTTTGGGAGCTGCAGGGCAGAAGGACTGTTAAAAGTATTGAATTGAGGAGCTGTTGGTGCTGAGAAGGGGGGCGTGTCACCGTACACGGCGTCCTGGGCTGTACGTACGGCTGCTCGCACGGAGACAGCAGTTTAGTGAGGGCTTCCGCTTCAAGCTTTTGCGTATAGGCGGCCCTTGAACGCGGTGCCTTTCTTTGAGTTTATTTGCGACTTTGTGTCGGAAGTATTCCGGAAAGCTCTGTGGGCGTTGAAGGCGCCGGCAGCGTCGGAGAGGAGGAGCGTGTGGCAGCAGTTCCTGTTTACACTGGCGGTAGATTTGAGGCATTTGAGCTACGGGGCTTCTTCTGGAGTGTACGAACACGGAAATGGTCCGCATGCGCGCCCTTAGGTATTTGGGAAGGGCCCTCGCGGGCTCGACTCCGGCTCTTGCTGCGGCGGTGGGGCCCCCCGCGCAGTGCAAGGAGCGCGTCAGTAGCAGCAGCAGCGACTTGAGCAGCCTGGTGGACAGCCCGCCCCCCGTGTTGGGGGAGGGGGCCTCGCTGCGTTGGCAGCTGCGGAACGCGCTGACTTCGCTGCAGGTGCGGCTGCACCTGCTGCGGCTGGAGCCTTCGGTGGCGGGGGAGGGGGCCCCCGAGGGGCCCCCCGGGTCGCGGGGGCCCCGGGGCCCCCGCCGCAAACGCGTGGTGGTCGCGGGCGGCGGCTGGGCCGCGGCCTCCTTCGTCAGCAAGCTGGACCCCCGCCGCTTCGAGGTGGTGTGGATTTCCCCGCAAGACCATTTTTCTTACACGCCGCTGCTGCCCTCGGCCTGCGGGGGCAGCTTGCCTGTGGCTGCATGCACTTCGAAGCTGCGGGACTTGCTGTGCTTCGGGGGCCTCCCTGCAGCGCGGGGCCGGTACCACCGGGCGTTCGTGGAGTCCGTGGACTTGGCCCGGAAGACGGTGACTTGCAGGCCCGCTGCAGTGCCGGAGGGGCCCCCCGGGGGCCGCGGGGGGGCCCCCTGGGAGGAGCCTTTTGACTACATGGTGCTTGCTGTCGGCTCGGATGTGAACACTTTCAACATTGAAGGAGTCAAGGAACATGCGCTGTACCTCCGCACAGCCCAAGACGCAGAGAGGGTCCGGGCCCGCCTGGGGGCCTGTCTCGAAGCTGCAGCAAACCCCTCAGTGACAGCAGCAGAGCGGGAGCGGCTGCTGACCGTGGTGGTGGTGGGGGCGGGGCCCTCGGGGGTGGAAGCAGCAGCAGAAATCCGGGACTACCTCAACACCACGGGGGCCCGGCTGTACCCAGACCTGCAGCAGCACTTCAAAGTGCTGCTGCTGGAGATGGGCGCTGCGCCCCTCCCCATGTATGACCAGCAAGTGCAGCAAGCAGCAAAGGCCACGTTTCAGAAGAGCGGCGTCGAGCTGCACCTGAACACGCAGGTCACGCGCGTGGGGCCGGACGCAGTGACGGTGCGGCGGCTGCAGCCGCGCGCAGCAGCAGCAGCAACTGCAGCAGCAGCAGCCACCACTGCGGCGGCGGCTGGCGGCGGCGCCGCCAAGGAGGGCGCCCCCGCCGGCGCCGGCGGCACCTCCGCAGGCGCGGGCGCTGCTGCTGCTGCTGCTGCGGCCGGCGCTGCAGCAGCAACCCCTGCAGCAGACACCATCCCCACCAACTTCGTCTTGTGGGCCTCCGGAGTCCGCCCCACAGAACTCGCCACTGCTGTCGCCAGGGGCCTCCCCGCCCAGAGCCGCCCCCAGCGCCTCCTTGTTGACCCCGCGCTGCGCGTCTTGGGCACGGACTGCCTTTTTGCTGCTGGCGACTGCTGCACCATTGAGCCCCCCAAGCTCGCCCAGCACGCCCAGCAGCTCTTCCAAAGGGCTCAGAGGGAAAACCCCACCAGCGGCGCAGGTACGCCCGCCTTCCCTCCCCACAGACGCCACGCAACACACAGGGCCCCCACAGTGGGCCCCCAGGGGCCCCCGCGCCCACAGAGGGGGCCCCGGACCCCCGCAGGGGGCCCCACGGCTCGCGAAGGGGCCTCCAGACCTGCACAGGGGGCCCCTGGACCCGCACAGGGGCCCAAAGGCCCACAAAGGGGGCCCCGGGGCCCACAGAGGGGGGCCCATGGCTCCAGAGGGCTCCGCCTGATGTGCACTGCATGCGTTTTTCGGGGCTTTCTGCAGGTACCGAATGGCTGCTGGCGAATGGCGAGAAGCTCTCGACAGTGTTTCCCCAGCTGCACCCCAAGCGCAACAAACTCGACACCCTCGCTCCGAGGTCTAATCTAGACTTGAAACAGTTTACGGAGCTTCTGCAGGTGAGGCAGCACCTGGTTCCGCTGGGAGTTCTCGGGTGTACAGACAGCCGAGGGGCCCGCAGCGCCGCGGGCGGCGCCTGAGGGCCGCGTTTGGGAAGGAATCTTGTGTGCCTTTGCAAGTTTGAGGTGGCAATTGTTGCTGTTTTCGGCGTCTAATGCCTTATTTCACTTGCATATTTGTTTTTGCCGCTTCGCATTCGCAGGAAATAGACAAGCGCTACGTGAGCCCGGCCCCGACGGCGCAGAACGCCCGCCAAGAGGGAATGTACCTGGCGCTGCTGTTCAACGCGTACCTGGGCTCTGGGGATGCTCCCAAGGGGGCCCCGGGGGCCCCCCAGGCGGCCCCAGTGCTTCCGGCGTTTGTTGACAACTGGAAGGGGTCTCTGTGCTTCCTGGGGGAGGGCACTGCAGCCCTGCAGCTGCCCGTGGGGACCTACGTGGGGGGCTTTCCGTTTACTCTGGTGTGGAAAATGGTGTATCTGCAGCTGCAGCTGAACGCCAGGGCCACCTGGCGCTGCTGCGAGGGCTGGCTGCAGACGGCGATTTTCGGCAGAGACATTCAGTGTGCTGCATCCAGCCCCAAGGACCCGAAGGAAACGCAGTAAGGCAGCAGCAGACTCTCCACGGGAGACTCAGCTGCGTCCCTACTCACGCTGCCGTCTTGAGGCAGCTAGGGTGTCGTGAAAGGGAGACCCTGGGGGTCCCCAAAGCGCTCCCTACCTAGGGAACCCTGCATGTGCACTAGGTGACCCAGGGGCCCCCCTGAGGGCCCCCTTGTACTCGCGCGAAGAGCGGGTACCTCCAATGTGGAGAGCAGAAAGGGCCCGTAGTTGGGCCAGAAGGACCCTTTAGGACCTTATGGTCATTGCCGAATTAGTGACGCTAAAAGCAGTCAAGGGCCCCCCAAGGCGCATGTGAGGCCACTGCATGCATGTGTAACGTAACAAGTTGTGGGGTGTACATACAGCCCACCCACCACAAACAGCCATAACTGACGAATCGCGAACTGCGGTTGGCGCCCATGCATGCATGCATGGGGTTGAGCCCTCCGAAGTATCTGTACACCTCAGACGGTGGACTTTCATTTTCATTTTATTTGGAGAAACAGTCTGAAACAGAGACGCAGCGTTGCAGGTGCACTCACGCTGCTGCCGCTGCTGCTGCAGCACCAGCAGCAGCTCACCCTGCAGCTGTGCGCTGCGCGCCCTTAGGGGCCCGTTTAGTGTGGGGAGGACACCAAGATGTCTACAGTGTATAGACACCCCACTTTGTACTCTGCCCGAATGAACTCCCGGGGCTGACAGGAGGCCTTAGAGGCCTCAGGGGCCCCTGGGGGCCCCAGAATAGCCTCTACAGTTTGCTGCACTTCAAGCTGCAGCGGAGAGCAGCGCGGCGGCGGCAGCAGCCCGTGTAGGGGCGTCTGCACCAGCTGCAGCGCCAACACGCATGCAGCCGCAGCACGTGGCTGCTGGCAAAACAACAGCAGCGGCAGCAGCCCAATCGTCAGCTAGAGCAGCGGCAGCAGTAGCAGCAGCAACAGCAAGCACCGGCACAGCTTCAGTCACCTGCGCAGCCTGCTGCAGCAACGGCAGCGTCGGAAGGGCCCTGCGAATGTTTGTGCTGAGTGTCGAGACACCGCCAGGCTCGAGGGGAGGCACCAGCAGCGAAATGTAGAAGAGAGCGTGCTGCAACTGAAACATCACAGCTCGCAACAGCAACAGCAGCAGCAGCAGACGCAGGTGCAGCGGGGCTTCTGTCAAATGCATCGCAGGGAAAACTGCAGCAAAGGTGGCTCAGCCAGACACACATAAGACACCCCAAGCAAAAAAGGAAAAGATGCATGAGGCACTAAAAGAAAATGAAACAAAAGAGCCCTAGGTGAAGTGCAGAAGCAAACTGTGGCGCTGTGAGGCAGCAAGATGCGCCCCCAGCAGTGCAGCGGGGAGCAGCAGCTAAAGCAGACAAACACACGGGAGGGCCAGCAGCAGCAAAACAAAAAAGCAGAAATATGACAAAAGGGAAGAAAAGCCAGAAGAAGAGAGAAAGAAACAGTAGCAAAATGCAGACATGACAATGATTTGGGGGCCCCTACTGCCTGTAGCGACAGCCTCTGCTGGTCCTCTTGGGAAGCAGCAGCAGCCTGCTGCTGCCGGCGCCTCCAGCCCCAGAAGCAAGGGGTGCTTTCTACTGCATGCAGATAAGGATGCCCCGCTGCTTCTTTAACTGCTGCTGCAGGCGCCGCTGTTGCTGTTGCTGCAGGCGCTGCTGCTGCTATAGTCAGCCGCAGCAGGAGCAGCAGCTGCTCCAGCAGGGCTCCCCCAAACAGCAAGGCGGGCACACCCCCGCCAAGCAGCGCTGCAGCAGCAAAGTTTAAGGACAAGGAACGGTATGCTTGAGCAGCAACTGTGGCACTGGGCAGCAGCAGCACCGACTGCTGCTGCTGCTGCTGCTGCGCGTACAGCTGTTGCTGCTGCAAGCACTGCCGCGTGCGGTATATCTGCAGCAAAAGCAGCCTGGAAAAAAGAGGCAGCAACACACAGAAACAAAACCCTGAAACGCCAAGTGCTGCAGCACAAACTCCAACAGCAGCAGCAACCATAGCAGCGCCAGCAGCCACGGCAGCAATTTGTGTGTCTTTTCTGCCAGCGGCCCCTTTTAGTCTTTTCTACCAGCAGCCCCTTTTCATGACTTTCCTTACGAAGCTGATTAAAGTGGTTACTCACTCCTTAACTAGCGCAGCCCATGAGGAATCGCTGGAACTTGACTCAAGTTCCCGCTTTTGCTGCTGCTGCTGCTGCTGCTGCTCCTGCGGGGAACCCAAACTATTCTGCAGCAACTGCAGCCGCGCTGAAGCCCCCAATACGCTTAGTACCTGCGAGGGAGTCAGCTGCAGCAGCGCTGGATCCCATGCGGAGGCTGAAGCTTCTGGTGGGGACGCTGCAGCTTTTGCTGCTGCTGCAGCGAATCGTGCAGCAGCGACGGCAGCAGCAGGCCCTGTCCTTCGCATCGCCTGCTTTCCCTCTACAGGAGCAGCAGCGAGGGTTGCTGCAGTTGCGGTACCTGTCACCGCCGCTGCTGCCGCTGCTGCTGCTGCTGCCCTGAAGCGGCTCGGCAGCAGCTGCAGCAGCAGCTTCGCCTCCTGAGCAGCACTGCGCAGCCGCACCAGCGAGTCCAGCAGCTCCACCAGAAACTGCAGCGGGGGCCCGTCTATTTGCTGCTGATCTGGAAGTGTTTTGGGGGGCCCCTGCAGCAGCTTGAGTTGCCAAGCTGCCCCAAAAGGGCGTCCTGTCTTGCGCTGCAGTGGCTGCTGCAGTGGCTGCTGCAGGGGCTGCTGCTGCTGCAGCTCCAGCAGGAGGCGGGAGAGAGCCACACGGCAAATGCGGCGCAGCAAGTCTTCAGGCAGACTCCTGCTGGGGCTGCTGCTGCGGCTGCTGCTGCGGCTGCTGCTCCTGCTGCTGCGGCGTTTACTGGCGTTGCGAGTGTCTGTCGCTGCAGTAGCAGCTCCTTCAAGGCCCTTCCTGCGGGATTCTGATAACTTGCTGCTGCTGCTGCTGCGGCGGCTGCCA